TGCCTGTTGACGGCTGTTAACGGACTGACAACCAAGATATGCGATACAATAGAAATGCTTCAAAGATACCCTGAGCCCTTGAAAATGGCCGCTACACACTCACCTGATAGCCTGAAACATCAACTCCTCGCTCTACGTCCCATTCGCTCTCGTTCTTACGAACCACATATTTCACATCATCCGAGAGCAGCTGCAAATATGTCGATCATTCATATCCCTCAGGCTTTTTTGTTGGCGGGGGGGGGAGGCGGTGGTGGTGGCAAGAAACATTGCTATCAGTGGTAAATTCCAGTTCAGAATTAATGCGGAACCACCAGTTGTGAAGATTCTATGTCACAGAAGAAGGGAAGGGCGTGGCTGCGCATGCTATTTGAACGTGGTGACTGATGCGTTTTTCGCAAGTCACTCCATCTGAGACAGCAATTATCATGTCTAGTGCTAGACGAGAAGATCACAATTGGCCAAAGCAAATTATCCCACCAGAAGCGCAGCTGCCTCCATGTTCAGAATAAGAACGTAGCCACGCCCTTTCCATCCACGGGATATGGAGTGTAGATACAATTTACGGAGACTTACACGCTCATATGACCACTATTGGCCCGAGGAAATTAACTCACATGCATCAGGTCCAGTTGTGTGCCACTATACGTCCAGCTGCCAAATTTTAGCTCACATTGTTGTATGTCGTATGGATACCATTCGACATTCATCGTACAGAACGAATGATAAATAACGGGCGGTTCCCATGTCTGAAGGAAAAGGATATCGTGCGCATGCAAAGTCACTGTGACTCCCCAGAGGGGTCAGCAACTCCAGCAAGTGGAGACTACCTCAGCTGGCAAGGCATTTTTTAGATAGTTAGCTCAGTCTATTTCCTCACAGAATTGAATAGGTACTGGTGCGAAAGTCACGCATGCGACGCCACTTGAAATGTCGCGTTCGTCGCTCCGCTGCATGTGAAATCGCGCAGTGGTTGGAAGCGCATTTCACGTGTCACATTGAGGGGCGGGGGAGAGGGGGCCAGGGGACTTCTTTTCCGCTGAAAAAACGCCTGTCTGCTGCTGCGCTCACTTTATATATAGCCTAGCAATCTCATTCGTCCCCACCGTCAGTGATGGTGCCATGCCTCAAGCCATCAAGGGTTATTAATGCAAACATTCAAGTGTGGCGATAACATAATCTTTGATGACAACCTTAGTAACATGAGGAAAAGCTCAGTCTTAATTGTTGTAAGAATGCTCATGCGTAAAAAATAGTCGCTAGTAAATATTTCTCTTAGGGCGTCTAGGGCAACCGGGTTACCAGCTTGCAATCGCTCAAACACATTCTGGTCAAGCAGTACAGTCGTCATCGGAGCAATTGATCGGTCAAAGGTGTTAACGCGTGGCGCGTCATGACCGCGACGATCAGCTGTTTCCAGCGTTGGTTGAGCCATTTTGCTCCTTGATAGGTTTCAATGTATTTTTAATTTTTTTCCTACATAGGTTGTTTGTGCTTTTTTATATATATTTGTTGTGGTCTTTGTGAAGTATATTAGGACGTGGACATTTTTTTGATTTTCTAATGAGGTTGCAATTTTTTAGGTATTTTTTGTTTGTTTACTTGCCTAACTGTCCGCAAAAATTAGAGAGATCTCAATCATAACTACCCTTTAAGAAAAGCGGCCAAAAACAGTCGAATGTAGGTAGGAAATGATTAAACCAGGCCGGAACAGTTCCTACGTATACTCCTTATCCCTGAAACGGGGTAGGCGTGGCATTCGAACATGGCACAAAACTGGTTACTCGTGGGATATTTCAATTTGAGACAACCGCCATCTTGTTCTTTGTTGGTGACCACATTTGGGTCAAAATGAAAATATCTCTCCAAAAGCATAGCCACCACGACGTTTAGTTGAAGTACGCAGCCACGCCTACCTCATCTCAGGGATTTCGAGTGTACGCGGTCGCTGCTGCAGCCGCGTCTGCGACCCTTCGAGGACCGCCTAATCAACTGCCCGGATGACGACTGTACTCGACCACACCCGCTTTCTCAGAATGGAAAGTCTCAACCTTGCCGTAGACGATGGTCTGCTATCGGCCTCACGGTAGAACTAAGCAAACAGCAACAACAGTAGATCACAATAAAACGATACCATTATACTTTTTTGTGCACGGTTATTGACATTCACAGTTCTCTATGTAATCGCTAAATTTGCAAAAGTTCCACTCACCACTCTTCCATCGTAGTATACGTGGGCTTTAGTGATAGCCGAAACCCATGGGCTGCCATGTGCGCTAAAAGAGTTAAAAATAATCATTTTTAACAGAAGGAACGAGATTACTGAGGCATATCGCGTAAATGGTGGCTGGGAGGACTCTAAGATCTCTGAACTCTAAGATAACCCCAATCGAATAAAACCTGCTCTTGCACGAAAGTATTGATTCACCACCAAGAAGCTCATTCTGTTCTAGGCTTAAGCAATCTCCATTATTGCAACCCATATTGTGCACAGAAATACTTTTGAGTGTCTCCCCTCCCCTGTTAGCCGATTCACCAGAAAAATTTCAATTTTAATGCAACTAAGCAAAAAGGGAGGGAGAAGGCGGAAATCTTGCATTGTTTTTATTTTTTGTGTATATTAGACTCTCCACATACTTTACTCGAAAACTGAGATTCGAAGTATCGGCGTGGAACAGAAAGTCCTCGCTCAGATGCACATTGTGAGGGGGGGGGGCTAAAAAAAAGATGTAAGGGTCCTGGGAAAGTCAATGGTGGGAGAAACACTTGTGATCCTAACAGAACCCCCTGGTGAGTGTCTTAGGATGAGCAGAGAGCGAGCAAAGGTGTAACAGAACGAAATCACCGTACTATGGTGTGGTAACCCCAAAAAGGCTAATGCCGTTTGGACTCCAGAAATTTCGGCTCCGAGCTCATTTTAAAAGTGGCAAGATCACCAAATCCGCTAAAAACTTGTATATAGGGGTAATTCAACATCCTGATCACGAATATGACATTCATTTTTGGCGCTGGCGCTAATGGATGACACTACGCGCTCTGCTAAGGCTGAGCCCAGGAGGTAATCGTAGTGTCCTCTCTTGGCGCCAGCGCCAAGAATGAGTGTCATACT